CCTTCCCCTGACCAGCAGTGTCTGCTGAGCCTGGCCCAGCGTTCCCACATGCCACCGCCCAGCATCCTGGCTGCTCACAGTCCCCCCTTTACAGCATGGCAGGGCAGCTGAGCTCCCAAGTGGGCCGGCTGAAGGGAACAAGGATGAACCAGAGACAGCAACACTGTGGCCAGAGAGTGCCTGGTGTCTTCCAGGGTCTGAGAAATTTTTCTTGTGGTGTGAGAGGCAAACCCACACACCCCGCAGACAGGCTGGCCCTGGAGGTCGGCCATGCCACGTTTCTCTCTCTAGGAAGGTCTCACTGGAATGAGAACTCCCCATGGAGTGTGGTCAGTTCATGTGTGCATTTCTCTTTGCAGGGCACGCCACCATCACCAACTACTTGTTGAACTATTTCCCTGGTCTTGACCTTGAAAGGAGGAACGTGTTCGGGTTCACGGCTCTGATGAAAGCTGCCATGCAGGGCCGAACGGAGTGCATCCGAGCCCTGATGCTAGCAGGTATGTCTCCACCTGTCCTGCGAGGTCCCGGGGACCCGGGAAATGTGGATTTTGCTCCCTTAAAGAATCTGTGTTGAAGGGATGAATCAGTGCTGTAGAAACAAAATGTAGTGGATGCCACAAAGAATAGCTGCTTTGAGGTACATGGCTATCACCATTCCAGGTGAAATAAACGAAAAGGCAGCCACCTCCAGGATGGGGTGGGAGGTTGTGTCACTGGCCACCCCCCTAGGACCCCTCCTTGCCCCCCGAGGAGCTCATCCTCACACCTTAGCCTCCTGCTGCCCATGTGTGTTCTTTCAGGAACATGTGTTCTGGTCTTAGCTCTGAGCGGCAAGCCCGTCCTGCTGAAGGTGAGCCAGGGGGCGGCGGGGCCAGCCCAGTCGCCATCCCAGACCCCTGCTTGCTGTGGTTGGAGTCGCATGGTGGCGTGGTGGGCAGCAGCTTCCTTTTTAGTGATGGGTCACCGAGTGGAAAGCTCTCAGGCACCCTTTGCCCTTTATGACCTCGGCATCTTGGAGGAAGAAGCACTTCCTTCTCTGAGCCTCGCCGTCCCCGTCTTTGAAATGGGAGCGATGACTTATTTCTCACTCCCTGAGGATGGAATAGGACAATACCTTGTAAACTCTCAGGGGCTCTGCAGATTGAATGAAGCACTACGCCAAAGGCCATGCAACTGATCTCTCATTCGTTCCTCACTGTAAAACGAAGCCCTGATTATCTGTAGTACCACCTCATTGGGTTGTTTTCAGAATTAAATGAGGAAATGTGTGTGAAGCACACACACCCAGGGTCCAGCGAAGGGCAGCCCCTGATGTCTCAGTCAGTGCGAGATGCTGCTGTCGCCATTATTTAATCTCATTGTTTTAACTTATTTGTTTCCCTCCTTGGTACTGGGTTCAGCCAATGCCCCTTGGCACTACACGTTCCAGATAGGTGGCATTCCCCTCCCATCTTATCGTCCTGGGGACAGCAGCAGAATTCTCCTACGCATCAGCCTCAGCTAGGAGTTCTGTTTAGACAATTTTTTTAAAATAAAGTTTTATTTTGGAATAATTTCAGATGTATGGAAAAGTGACAAAGATAGGAGAGCTCCCACACAGC